CCTCTCTGACTACAACATCCAGAAGGAGTCCACCCTCCACCTTCTCCTGCGTCTCAGGGGTGGCATGCAGATCTTTGTCAAGACCCTCACTGGTAAGACCATCACTCTGGAGGTTGAGCCCAGTGACACCATTGAGAACTTGAAGGCCAAAATCCAGGATAAGGAAGGCATCCCCCCTGACCAGCAGAGGCTGATCTTTGCTGGCAAGCAGCTGGAAGATGGCCACACCCTCTCTGACTACAACACTCCAACTCCACCCTCCACCTTGTCTTACGTCTCAGAGGTGGCATTAAATCAATGATTGAACACGGTTCCATTAATATTGCTTTCTTAAAATAAACAGATGATTGCATTAATGCCTTGTAACAAAATTATTTTTTTGTACATTTTTGATATCAATAAAGGATTGAACTCCACTTAAGTGTTGCAGCTTTTTCTATAACAACTTTCACATGACAGACAGCAAGAGGGTAAAATAGACTTAATTTTTAGGGATGCTTTTTGCTGGAAAAGAATAGGCCTGTAAACTTTTCTCCTGAATAAAATATAAAACTAAACATGAATCATGGTTCAAGGCAGACATGATAAAACCATAAAATAAATTCTAACCAGTGCATTAAAAAACAAACAAAAAACAGGCCATAGTTTAAAATTATGATTTCCCAAAGCAATGACTTCTGCTGGTTCCATCCGATGTCTATGCATAATGTTAGGTTTTGTATTGTTGATTGTCATTTATGCTTAGAAATATTTAACCATATATGCTTAGAGGTGTATAATCAATTGTAGATTGAAGGAATGTCTCATCCTAGGAGGTCTGTAACAACTCTGTGTGAAGAGGGGAGTGCGTTCATTCCTCTACAGAGTGTTCTGGCATAGATTCGTATCTTCTCTTGCTGATATATGGCATAGCAAACACACGTATATATCTCTTTAAGTATAAGAGCCTTTTGTTCAGATGGAGCCCTAGACTCCTGGCACCAGCCTTTGGGGAGTCTTCACAGGGTCACATCTTGACCTCACACACACACACACACACACACAGTATTCTTTGTTCACATGTATACCTATGTAGACGTCATATGTTTATGAACCTATGCATATTCATGTAACCTCAATAAAAGGGCAGTGTTACGGGAGAACGGATGAGAGCAACTGGGGTCAAGCGAAGGAACGGCGTTTGTCCGGTTCTCTCCCGTGCACGAGAAACATGAAGAACTTTGCCTACTTCGTGTCTTGCTTGCTGTGTAATTATATTGCCTTCAACGTTCCAGCGAATAGGTTCAAGCTACAAACCTATCACATAAACAGCTAGATGTGACATATGCAAGAGAAATATAATGCCATCATTTCATATATGAAAGTGAAGATATGTTAGGAATAAGTAGATGTGCTGGAAATTAGTTAAATACTGCCTTGAATTCTTAACATCTTGATATGGTGTATGCTGTAGTATACTACTGGCTAAAATGAAGCTTCATGATAGGAGTCCTTAATTAAAGGATGCTATATTACTATACCAAGGCTGGACTCAATGCTGAGTCATTGCAGTCAATGCTTTCTACAATTAATAAGTCGTAGATTGAATTTTATTTTTCAGCAAATGTGGTTGGACTGGCTCACAAAACATCTCTTAGAGTGTGAACATTTAAATATTGGAAGCCTCTTTGTGTAAGACATAGCTCTTGAGAAATGCTTAATAAGTGGTAGATCGATTAATGTTTTTTTCCATACAGTTGTTGGGCTGAAGTAGGGCTGGGCTATATGGCCTAAAATCCACATTGCGGTATAATTTGAAGCATGTGCGGTAACGATATATATATTGCATTATATTCTTTTCTTCAGTATACCATATTTTCCGTACTGTAAGGCGCACTTAAAATCCTTTAATTTTCTCAAAAAACGACAGTGCGCCTTATAATCCGATGATCCTTATGTATGAATTCTGGTTGTGCTTACTGACCTCGAACATTTTATGTGGTACAGGGCACTCAAAAATCTGTCAAAAAATGTTTTAGTACGACTTTGGTAAGCTACAAAGCCACACCGCTTGATGGATTGTCGGAGCATTACAGCTACCATAATCAGGAGCCTCGCAGAGTAATCTGGGTCCAAAACTCTGTTTGCTTCAGGTCCCAAAGTCAAACAAACACTGCAGCATCACTGAGAGTTAAAAACCATCTAAATTCTTTCATCTTTAATAAAATGGTCAGTGTTGCTGCTTTACCAGGTGTAACAATTAAGTTTAACAACCAGGCATCCATGAAAACAGAACTTATTAAATTTTATGGAGTTAGAAGTTAGCAGGAAGTTAGCTCGCTAGTTTCAACCTAAACATGATATACCATGTTCTGACTAAGAGATGGGAACAACAACATGGGAATAGAGCAGCTGCGAGAGAATTCAACATTAATGACTCAATGGTACGGAAGTGGAGGAAATGCAGTTTTTGGATGGCCAGTTGAAAGTCTAACCCAGGGGTAGGCAACCTTTTCTGATGATGAGTGCCATCTATTGAGTGCAATAAATCTAATAATGCTGTATATTAACAGTTACACACTATATAGAACAACTTTATAGAATTATATTTGTTCGCAGATGTTTGCAGCTATCAGCAAATAGTTATCAGCTATTTAGAAACAAAAGAAAGACACTTTTTATCCATAACAAGAACTCCATAACAGCAAATGAACTGTACAACAGAAAATGCAAGTGCTATTTATGGTCTCCTCACAAGAATGATAAGAAAAATAAACTGAGCCAATATGGCATGTTTGTTAATACACATGTTAATGTGATCTCTGGTCTCCCACTCAGAGACACAGGACGGCTATCTGAGGACACTCTTCATGTGAGAGAAAATCTGCTCACACAGATATGTAGAGCCAAATACTGTCAATAATGCCTCTGCAAAGTTCTGAAGACAGTTAACCATGTCAGGTAGTGATGTCCAGCTGGTGAAAATGCAAGCTCCATTAACACGCACAGCTATGGATTCCAGCTGCATTCGTAGTTCTGCAAACTTTGACCCCCACAGAGTCGAGGTTTTCTGTTCAATCAGCTGCATTTCGATGTCGCATTAACTGGCATTAACTCAACCAGTTAATGCAAGACAAATCCAGCTGTTCATTAAAGCTTTCTGGTTTGATCTGTCTTGAGTCTTCGGGTGTATCCGTGTATTTCCGCGGTGCTTATGCTGCACTGAGCAGAAAGCTCCTGAAGTGTCGGAATGTGGAAATTTCAACATTGCTTGAAAAAACTGCCAGCTAGCAACGTCCCTCTCATTGGTAGGCTAAGTTATGTTTAGCCAATTACAAGGTGAATCTGGTAGTTGGGGTTGTAAGCTAAGATACCCTCATTAAGAAGCGGCACAACTAATGTGTCTATGCGAGCTAATTTGCGATGTGCACCACTGGCCCAGCCATTTATTTTTTAATGCACCTTCTCAGATTAATTCCAAATGCCCGGTGGGCCAATGGCCAGTCCAGCCATCAGTTAATCCAGCTGTGGCATGCATGCCCGGGGTTGCCGACCCCTGGGCTATACACTACATAAAATCAAAATTCACATGTTTTATGTAACTAAGTGTTACAGAAAATAAGTTATATTCAATTTAGTTCAATTTTATTTATACAGCGCCAAATCACAACAACAGTGCCTCAAGGCGCTTTTTAGTGTAAGGTAGACCCTACAATAATACATACAGAGGAAAAACCCAATAATCAAATGACCCCCTATGAGCAAGCACTTTGGGGACAGTGGGAAGGAAAAACTCCCTTTTAATAGGAAGAAACCTCCGGCAGAACCAGGCTCAGGCTCAAGGAAAGTTTTAAGCCTAATCTTAAAAGTAGAGATAGTGTCTGTCTCCCGAATCCAAACTGGAAGCTGGTTCCATTGAAGAGGGGCCCATTCTACTTTTAAATACTCTAGGAACAACAAGTAAGCCTGCAGTGTGAGAGCGAAGTGCTCTAATAGGGTGATATGGTGCTACAAGGTCATTAAGATAAGATGGGCCCTGATTATTTAAGACCTTGTATGTAAGGAGCAGGATTTTGAATTCAATTCTGGATTTAACAGGAAGCCAATGAAGGGAAGCCAATACAGGAGAAATATGTTCTCAGAGAGACTATATTTACAGACTATATTGATATGAAAAACGTGTATACTTACTGCATTTGAATCATTATAACCATATGTAACCACCTCCATATGTGTTTAAAAAAAGGCTTTGATTTTGCCACCCCATTTGACTTCTTTGCCACCCTCATGCCACCCCAAGAACATTTCTCTAGATCTGCCCCAGGAGTAACAGGACACCAGGTGGCAAATAACATGCAAGTAATGATGCTAATAACTTTCTGTCCTCTGGTTGTGTGAGTAGGAAGCTGTTTGCTAACAAGTTTATCCTAAATAAAAAATCAGTGGGAGACAGTGTTTGTGTTACAACTACCCTGTGGCCAAAAAATACATTCTGCTTATCCAATTCTGGTCCCAACTGTCATAGAGCAAGAGGCAGGGTACACCATGGACAGGCTGTCTTGTTGCAGGGCTAACACAGAGAAACAGACAGTCATTCACACCTACAAAGAATTTAAAATGGCCAGTGAACCTAACCAGACTAACTGCATGTCTTTGGACTGTGGGAAGAACATGGAAACTCCACACAGAAACGCTCCGGTTTGATGGTGGATTCAGACCCAGGACTTTCTTCCTGTGAGGCAACAGAATCACTCTCCTCAAATGTTCTCAATAGTTAAAAAAATATATATTCCTCATATCACCCCCTCTCTTTTATTCCTGCACTTTCCATACCTTAAGGCTGTCCCGTTGACAACAAATGAAGTGAACGATGACTCTCAGACCCTTTTATCCCTTTAAAGCCTGAACCCTGAATTAATTGCCAAAAAATTCAAATCTTTTGAAAATGGAATGTTTATTGAATCTTCTGACATTTTTTTCAAAAAGACAACGAAATATAAATTGGCAGATATGAGTTTAATTTGTATCATATTTGCTACATCTCGCTTTTTTGGGCAATTTATTGCTTAAAAATGCAATGCAATTTATTTAGATTTTACAGGAAGGAAACACTCTGATGATATAAGCCTC